TGAAATTTTGTTGATGAAATTTTTATACTAAATCAACTCTGCCTTAAAATTTATCTAGAAAGTCTGAATGAACCTTGATAAGATCTTGCCTGGTCCACTCTTTTGGATCTTATTTTACAGGATCCTCCTTCCTATTCTTTGTCTGTAGGTATCAAGCCAGCCAGTTTGGGGAGTCAATTCCTTCATCCTCTAGAAGTGCATTAAATTTATAAGCATTGCTGATAAATTATAGCATAATATTTATTTCTCCTTGTTACCAATGCCTGTTATTAAGATCCTGCGTCCACACTCCATAATTTGATGTTTTCTTTCTGTATATGTAATTCACCAATGCCTGTTGACCTAGACTTCTGACTCATTGCCCGGTTCTGATCTGTAATGCTTAGCCTTCTCCATGCCTGACCAGCCTACATTGGATTTAGACATTTTTAAAAAATTAATTAATTAATTAATTTTTATTTTTTGGCTGCACCATGCGGCATGCGGGATCTTAGTTCCCGGACCAGGGATCTTAGTTCCCGGACCAGCCCCCTGCAGGGGAAGGGTGGAGCCTTAACCACTGGACCACCAGGGGAGTCCCAGATTTAGACATTTTAATACTAGGTTGTAACTTTTGATACATGTAGGGGCCTTCATTAGATCCCTCACTGCTCTTTGATTCCTTCCCTGGGTTCACTCCTGTTCCATTGTATGTCCAAGAACCTCAGCCCTTACTGAACACACTCATTGTAGCCCTCTTCTTGCTTTGCTTCAGTACTTTAGGTCCTATTTCCTCACCATGCTACCCATGTCCTGGCATAAAACACGAAATTCCTGGAAGAGGCAAAAACAATGAGAAAACATGGAAAGAAAGACATTGATTAAAAGAATCATCAATACCGTCAGCATAGACAATTAGAAAGAAATAAGGCTATATGAGTGTGGTTACCTCGTCAGTGTTTTTCTTTTCTCCCATTGTCTAATAACCCCAATTTATAATTCCATAAGGATAGGGATTTAGTTTTCTTGCCTATTGTGTGCTATTGATTCTCCAAATTTTATCCAGTGTCTAAACCACAGTAGATGCTCAATAAATGTTTGCTGGTGAATGAATGAATGACACCATCACATGAATAGTAGCAGCAGTAAAAGGTAGGTTGTATGAAAGTGAGAGGTTTCAAATCAAATAATGAAATAACCCACACATTGGTCTTAATTATAATGGTTAATTCAAATTAGTTAACTTACTTTGAAAGTCTTTCAATAACATTCTCTAGAAACAAATGCATACTTCTATGACCAGTAACAGTGTTTATTAGCCATATATATGTGTGTATGTGTATATATATATATATATATATATATATATATATATATATATAGTTTTGTCCCTATTTTAGAGAATTTGATTTGAAATTTAAATTGCAAATTTTAAAGGAGTATCATTACTCTCTCTGTTTAAATGCTGGACAGCAACAACAATCACTCACATAGTTTAATTTTCCAACTTGAGAAATTTCCACTTGTTTATCCAGTGGGTAATTCACTTTAAAAATTACAGGAATACTACCTTCTCTTTGAACCTCAATGGCAAGTTACATTGCTATATTTAAATCACTTCAAATCAAACAAGAGTGTCAATGTCCTAAAATTGGCATATTTTGAAGTATAAAATATGATACATTAATGTCTAAGAATATTTTAAACTATTTGGTCTTATTCCTAAAAAAATAAGTAAAATTTCCATATAGAATATATTTGCTTCAAATTTTGAATTGATCTGAAAAATCCAGAGGTAGAACATTCAATATTTAGATGTTATTTCTGCATCACATAACTCTTTTGGTGTATAAACAGAAGAAACAGTAAAAAATTTCTCTTTTAGCATTGAGTACTATAATTTGAAAATAATAAGTTAATAATTTCCTGGTCTCATGGTGAACTAGGGAATTCAGAATATTCCTTTTCACAGGAACCATCTGAAGCAGGAGGCAAAAGATGGCAGCAGTGAGTCGTTCCAAGATCTCACACTACCCAGAATCATTTTATTTTATTTTTCAATATTATCAAATTGTGCATTTACTAATATCTTCAGTTACAAATTATTTTAGAAGAACAGAAATCATCTGCCCTCTAAAGAAGTCTATAGGGACTGCCTACGGGTCATTTCCAAGGGATACAATTAGTGAATAGGGTTTGCTATTGCTCAGCTCAAAAATAACTCTAAAAAACTTTAGAAAATTATTTTCTTAACTTAGATCTATATGGGCATATAAGACACCTGTATTTGCTGTGGATGGTATCTATACACCTACCTCAAATTTAATCCAAAATGGAACTGACCTACCCTCCAAGTCTGCATCTGCCGCCTCCCCCCCCACCCTGGCCAAAGACTTCCTGAGTTAAAAGATGCAAAGAGGAGTACAGGATAAATTTATTTTTTCTAAATATCTGACCAAAGCTATGGTGAAAACAAAGAACATCCTTTAAAATATAATGTGGCCTAATGGATACAGCACTGCTAATTAGTCTTGTACCAAATACTCCACAGTAACTGAACTGCCTTTCTGAGAACTAAAATAAAAAATACAGTTCAGCATCTGCTGAAAAATGGCCCAGCAGTGTCCTCCTTCAGAGGATTCAGAAGTATATATTTTTAAAATAAATTTATTTATATTTTTGGGTCTTTGTTGCTGTGCATGGCTTTCTCTAGTTGTGGCGAGCGGGGGCTGCTCTTCGTTGTGGTGTACAGGCTTCTCATTGCAGTGGCTTCTCTTGTTGCGGAGCATGGGCTCTAGGCACACGGGCTTCAGTAGTTGTGGCACACGGACGCAGTAGTTGTGGCTTGTGGGCTCAGCAGTGGTGCTGCACGGGCTTAAGTTGCTCTGCGGCACATGGGATCTTTCCCGACCAGGGATCGAACCCGTGTACCCGGCCTTTGCAGGCAGATTCTTAACCACTGTGACACCAGGGAAGCCCCAAGTCAGAAGTACTTTAACATAGAGCCAGCTTTAAACTTGGAGCCAGGTTGGAGAACTACTTTTGGAGGTGAGACCAAGCCTATATATGCCTATCCAGCCTTGAGGTAGGAGGATTAAAAACGTACGTTTGCACTGTTGTCGAAAGCCCTTGCTTAATCTTGCCCCTTGCATATATTTCTACCCGTTTAGCCTGTCTAAACACTTCTCCTTTGCTCTTACTTCAAATTTTAACTTCCTGCAAAGTATGCTAGAGAATAGCCTGGGATAAATATTCAGGTCATTTAACTTTGTTGGATAATTTCTTCTGACACAAAAGAGAAATACTTTGTTTCTGAGAACCACAAGCCCCTGGAATCCCTCTGATGACAACTTCCTGTATGCTGCCATGCTTATCTGTGTCTCGGAAACCAGCTCTGGGGAGGGGAGGAGTGAAGATCACAACCTCAGACAGTCTGGGATCCACAGGGTCAGGGATGGTGCGCGGTGGCATCATTAGGAAGGGTGTTTGCCCTGGTCCCCGGGCACGCTGCGCTCTGCCTGCCCAAGTCTTGTAATTGCAACAGGGGTGAGCCCCGTCATGACTTCCAAAACCGAGGGACACGGGTGAAGGCCCAGAGGACTTCCTTGGCACAAGGGTCTTGTTTTCTAACAAGACTTTTCACTGTTCACTGCGGTGATGCTCCTTGCTGTATTTCACAGCAAAGAGAGGCAGGCAAAGAGAAGTCCCCATGGAGTCAATGAGCTGTCAAACCAGGAGGTGACACAGAAAACCAATCTGAAAGTGACAAGAACAATACAGGGGGTATAGGAAGACTTTGGGGGAAGAAACGGGTGAGGGTTTTCATCTTAGCCTGGGAGAGGGGGTAGTGGGGGAGGAAGACAAGGTGGCAGAGGTGTGGAAGTTGGAAGAAAGAAGAGGTGGCGCTGGAGGAGGAGGTGAAGTTAGCATTACGATCCATTCAAGATCCAGACTAGACAAAGGTCTTTCTCGCAGGAAGTTACATACTTCCAGGTTCAAAACCAGAGGGATTTCGTTTAAGGAGAAAGTCTCTCCACCCGCGAAAAGCATGTTTAATCGAAGCACTGGAAGTGACAGAAGACTGGACAGACGCTGTGGGGAAGATCGGAGATGGATGTCTTGCCTTCTTCGCTCTAGAACCACAGGATTTGAGAGCCTCCATCTCCACCCAGCAGCAGTCACATTCAGCCTGCAGCCTGCCCCAGCGCACACACATGCTGTCTTAGAACCCCCTCCATCCCTGCCCTTTGTTTGCACGCTGACATCTGCCAGACCACCATAAACTGTTAGCATCTTGCACGTAAATGAAGGCACTGGCCCTATGAGCACCGTTCTAACCCCGGGTTCCAGGCCTTCCTCGGGTCCTTCCTAGCTTTCGCCTGGTTCGCGAGCACCCACCCATCTGAGGGCCGGAGTCTGCGTTCGCAAGGATGCTCGGCCCTCTCCCAACCCGCGGCCTCCTCCCCTCTCGCCTGCTGCTGCCGCTGCTGCAGCGAAAACCAGGAGAAGTGGAATGCGCACGGCGAAGCGCGGCGCTCTCGCGGCGGCACTGGGCATGCTCGGCACCCAGGGCAGGTTCGGGCGGCGGGGCGGACGCTGCTTCACTAGCCGGGCGCCCGAGCCGGCCGCCGAGGTATAGGTGGAGGCTGAGGCTGCCGCGCGCCGCGGGAGGAGCTTCGCCCGCGGCGGCGGCGGCGGCACAGGTGGCGCGGGCCGCGCGCGGGGCGCAGCACGGGAGCGCTCGGCGCCGGGCGCCGCGGCGGCCCCAGGCTCGCGCCCGCGGCGGCAGCCGGCCGAGCGGAGCTGCGGCCGAGGCGGTGGCGGCTTTCCCAGCCCGGCCGGCCGGCGGCGGCGGCGGCGGCGGCGCCCGGAGCCCGGAGGAGCCCCAAGGAGCCGGGAGGAGCCCGGAGGAGCCGGCGGGAGTCCGCAGGAGCCCCGAGCCCGCGGAGTCCGCGGAACCGGGCAGGGGGCGCTGCGCTCTCTGCGCTCGGAGGGGCCGCCGGGCCGGGCGCCGCGCACTGGCGTCGGGAGCCGCCTCTCCCCCGCGGCGCTCGCCCCTGCTCGCGGCCCGCATCCCTTGTTCCGCGGCCGCACTCAGACAACAAAAGCGGAAGATGCTGCAGTTGGGCAAGGTCAGGACCTTGCCCTGAAGCCGGGCGGCGGCGCGCACGCCTTTCCCCGGACTGAGAAGCTGTCGCTGGTGGCGGGTGCATGTTCGCGAGGAGGCAGTCGGGCGCCGCGCCGTTCGGTGAGTTGCCTTCCGCCGGGCTGCTGGGGCCAGGCGCATCCTGCTCGGCGTCGTCGTCGTCGTTCTCCTCCTCCTCGCCGCCAGTGGGG